CGTATGGCGAATCCCCCCTCCCAAATGTGACTCTCTTAAGCTTGCAACGCTTCGCACCATGTTTTCTTTTATCTTATCTGTCTCCTTTTTTTTGGTCATCTTTGCGTTTCATTTCTCCCTCTCCACCATAGTCAACACGACTTTCGGCTCAGGCCCGTGCAGATTACACAACCGGTGAATTGGTTAATTTGCTCAGTGTGGATGTGAACCGGATCATGGAATTGTTCAGTAAGATGGGGAAAAACTTTTAAAGACTTCGCTTATCAAATCCGATAGGGTGTTTACACTTTGGCTCGGAACACGATCCACAAGATCACAGTTAGTTCATGAAGGTAAAATAGTAATGTAGTTTTTGACTAGCACAGAAGAATGCATTATGTAGTCGGGTGTTGAAACATAATGTTTGCCAGAGCATCATCAAGCTGACGCTTGTAAGATACTAATGTTGGCGTACAAACCATGTGAGGTGGTAGAGAGTTTCATGTGCTGTACACTTTGACTGCAAACGAATGGCGCCTGCAGGCGAGACGGCTCTTTCGGAGTGCCAACATCAGCGGATGCTTCTGAGATGAACATTGGTTGATAGAAACAAAAGAGATCTACATGGATGGTTGGGCTGTTGGAAAATCCGATGCAGTAAGATCATATCACCTCTGATTTGGCGATATTGAGACGAGTATAGCCCCAGAAGCTGTAATCTTTCGCCATAGGTCTTGGAATGTAGACCTTTGACCATCGTGGTAGCCGTTCTCTGCGGATGTTCGAGTGCCTTCCGATCTCGCTGCAGCCATGGGTTCCAGGTCTGAATTGAGTACTCGGTGTATGGACGGATATATGTAGCTAACAGACGTAGAAACAAAGCCGGCCCAAACGATCCAAAAACACGTTTGAGCAGTCCAACCTGTTTTACCGTCATGGATGATGACTTGGAACGGTTTGTGGAGCAACTCAAGTCTGCGCCAATGACTACTCCCAGATCCTTCTCGGATGGTGCATTAGGCAGACTTTCGTATCTAAGAGTGTAGGAAAAATGACCATTGTGACGTAGTGACAAGCTTTTACATTTGGTAACGTTCACCTGAATTCCATATCATTGGAGACAGACCATCTTTGGACTTCGTGAAGGGCGTTCTGGAGATAAAATGAATCTTCTGGTTTTGGCATCCTCTGCAAACAGCAGAGTTTGTGGTCCAAGGACATCTGGAAAATCATTTATAAAGGTAAGGAAAAGACGTGGGCCTAGCACAGATTCCTATGGAACCCCACGGTTGATATCTATTGGATCAGAAAGTGAACTGGAAATACGAACTGACATGGTACGTAGGCGAAGAAACTCCTCGATCCAGCCAAGTACCAGTCCACGGATTCCATAGTTATACAGCTTCTTTATCTGTATTTGATGCTTTACTCTATCAAATGCTTTAGAAAAGTCCAGGTAAATAACATATGACCCTTTGCCTTGGTCTACATCATGAGTCCAATCGTCCCGAGCCAAAACCAAAACTGATCCTGGGCTGGGGATAGTAAGCCATTTTCTCCAGATGATTCATTATATAATCTGCAACAATAGATCCCATGACTTTGGACAACAGTGGAAGGCGAGTGACGGGTCGTATAGGTATTGCACAAAAAAGAGCATTCCAAATAGTATTTTCGTCTGCGCTGTTTTAATGAAGTAATAACCAAGCTAATGGCATCAAAATTGTCGGTTGAAAAATGTGACTTACGTTTATGTTGTAAGAACGAGATTACGTTGCCTGATCCAATGGCTCTGTGCTGTGTGGAACGATTTTCCATCCAAGTGACGTATTTGTCGTCACTTACAATTAACTAAGATTGGTCAAACTGTTTCACTACACAGTTTATCACGAGTCACGCGTAAGCGCGACTCCCTCTTATTACTTATTTTTGGGTTAACAATTCCACCACAATGAGCAAGACGAACGTTGTTACCGGTTACAGTTTTCTTGCTTGTTTACCTTCAGCTTGCAGTTCATCCCTCAGAGTAATCATTTACCGATTCTTCGGTCAGCTGCTACCGCTACTCAAACGGCTTGCTTGTAGCATCAGCCTCAAAACACAGAAACGCAGTTTTCACTTTATATCTAGATCACCTAGAGCAGTAGCAGACAGTGCAGATCGAGCTTCCACAGAAAATCAACCGAATATTTTGAACTGCATGGCAATGCGCTTGTCTATATGTGAATTAGGAGTATCTGTTGGATTTATCAACAAATTCCAGCTAATTATCTATCCATCACATTTCATTAATTTATTGCTTTTAGCCTAATAATTCTATTCGATCCCCTTTATTCACGTCTCCTGGATTATTCGTTTATCGTTTTATTCCCGTTAATTCTATGCAGTGTACTCGTACTGCACGTGGATTGCATTGGTTCAGTTGATCCTCTCTTTCTATCTACTCTGGCAACAATTGGGTATGGCCACTCTGATCGGAATTGGATTACTTCTATTGATGCTACTGTTGAATGCTGGATCAATGTCGTTCTTACAACGATTTGAGGTAGGTCTCCAACTCTGCCATAGGCAGGCTCACCTGTCAATAGAACGTTTCTATCCGCAATGGTTTTAAATAAGTTGAGCTTTGTTTCCTGTGACTTACTTTCAATATTTTTAAACACAATACCTTCGCTATAGTTGAGTAACTCATAGGCCTCACGTTAGTTCAGAGTGGGTCCTTCGGTAATTAAACAACTTCTTCGAGTCCTCGTGATGGTAGGCTGCTTGTACTAACATCCCATAGTTGGGGTGTTATCACATTGAATGGAAATGGTGGAAAACGGAAATCCGGGGTTACTGCCATGTTGCTATTCCACTGTTGTCTAGCTCTTTGAGAGAAAGTTTGGACATCCAGATTCTATGCCCCATTGTAAAGCGGTGCGTGAACGGGCTGCGACGGTCGTTGGTTTAATTGACCCACTGGTTTATTAGGAATCCTTAAGGCGTTGAATATACTCACGGGGCATTTTATCCGATGGACTAGACCCCGCTTCCAATGAATCGCAATCATCATACATCGATTCGCTATCTTGAGAGTAGCGGAAGTGTTCAGTTGTGATCTTTTGAGAATATCACCAGCTGTAGCCTGAGAAACTTGACAGTCGTGTGATCAGGAACACATCTTGAGTTTGAAAAATCAGGATACTTTTATATAGTTGATAAGGGTAGATGTTTTGTGAAATACATTTTACATGAGTTCATCGACTGCTTACAATCCATGGAAGTGAAACGACTATTAGGCCAGAGGGTTTAGACGTTACTGTATGTTCAAAGTTGAATTTACGACGAGCTTACAGCCTTAACAATGAATCATCCCCTATTTTGGGGATAAGCCAAAAGAGGTTATGTGATAAGGGATCTGTGATCAGTCACCAAGAACATTGCGGCTACTGTCGTTTATCGGGGTAACGAAAGACGGTATATATTCAGCAAAGAAGGATGAGACGTGACACTGGGTAAAAAAAGGAGTTATGTAGAAATTGGTCGTGATGGTGCTTGTATATCGCGAAAATCTAAGGGGACATTTAATAGCTAAACAATCTGTACCTTTGGTGGAATAATCAGAAAGAACCCCAGACTGGCCACCCCAAAAAGAGCTGATTTAGGTGATCAATCCTGTTTTCTTCTACGTTCCTAATTGAACAAATAAATCACAGGATCATATCACCAATAAAGATATTACCATACGAATGGTTGGTGGTTTACGTTCATTCTTTATGTCCCCCAGGTTTTTCCATAATGAGCAGAGTCATCGTCATTATCGTCGTGCAGCGAGATACAGTGAAGTGAACTTTGCTGATCGTTGCCAAGCTCTTAATGTACACAAGGTGAGTGAAAAAGTACAAGATCGATAGGGTTTAGGCCTAACTGGAAGAAGGCACAGAAAGTTAACCTCTATGGTCAACACAAAGAGTGCACAACCTAACTCTGCATACACACCTTTTCAAGCATTCTGATCCGATAAGGAAGGACAGCAAGAACGCCATTACTGTCGGTTGGTCGCCATATACTTCACTGTCTCCAACCAACCATTTACACGGTCTCCCGGACCCCAATTTGGAAGACAGTAGACATGTACTCCACCTAATCACTCTGTGCATTTCTTCATGTTTCGTTTCCGCGTCATCTGTGGACCTCCACGCGGTTTTCTCCAAACTGTAGAAACAACAGCGAATAGTGTGTAATGAGGTAGACGATAGCTGGGCATGAGTAACAAGTGTCCTAACCAGCGAACTTTACTCATATGGATTCTCTGTGATAATGAATTTTGCATCGAACCATTACCAAATGTACGATGACTGACCTCATAGTTGCTTACACGCTCACCCCATTCACCCCGCGCCGAACAACGCAAACACCGGCAATCAAAGACTTCTAGATAATGAATATCTTCCAGGCCCAAGTTAAGGGTCTCTTCACCGTAAAGCAGACCTGACCACACACTAGCGCACTATACGCGACCTTTCAGTTTCAACAAAACACCACTTCTTCACCAAAGATTTTTCGGTCCTGCGTAACCTACTCTAACCTTGGAAATGCAAGCGGTTACTTCCTAGACTAAGCTGCCGTTATTTGACAAACAACGACCTAAGTAGAAGAAAAAATCCACTAATTCCTGACCATCAAATATTAGAGCCTAGTTAGACGACACCCAATCTTCTAGCATCACTTTGCGTTTTGAAGATGCAAAGAGCATGACAAGAGGAGTTAAAGAACTTAAAAGCCTGTCAAGAACGCTTTGAGCACTCTCCATACATTCGAACGGACAATTGATGTCGTCAGTATACGTTAAATCGTGCAGTGTTTCTCCAGCTCCCCATTCAATACCAACATTTTGGAGACCAATAAGTGCGTTGTCCAGCATTTCGTCTACTACGAAGTTGAATAAAAACGGTGAAAAAGATTACCCAGGACAAACACCGCTCCTGGTTTAGAAAGATTTGCTTAGCCGGCCTTAGACCCTGACGCTACCCAAAGTATGCGGATACAGTGATCGCAATAGGTTTGCTTACTTATACGACATGGACAGGGTTTGAATTAGATTTCATTAATCTACATGCCGATCGTTGATAGCCTTTTTAGTTGTAAGCAATTAATAATTTTTATGTAAGCTTCGCTGACGAACAATTTTAAACGCCGTTCTGCAAGTATTACCTGCTGGAAAGTAGTCGGAAAATAATCCGTGCGTGATAATTAGTCTATTCCTCGATGGCTTGTCTACTCACGACAAGATATGCGTACGGCTTCTGCCACACTTGTAGTGAACGGTATCAAACGGAGGTAGTTTGTTTGCACAAATGAAGTGAGTTCAAGAGAGTGAAAACTGGTCTACTCAACTGCCTTTATCTAACCTACTGATGGTGACAAACGAATCTCTAAGCTCAAACGTGAAATTGTTGTTCGTCAACAAAATAATTAGTTTCATACGCCATATGAGCTAGAACAAGATAATTTTCACTGGACATTCGCCATATAACCCAGTAGCGGTTCAAAAATCTCATTTAAAGCAGTCGTCTTATTTCTGGAGTTTCAAGACCAAATCAGCACCGATGTTTTCCGTAATCTTATTTACCTCCTCATCTTCATTCCTGCACGACAACATTAAAATCAGAGGAATCGATGATAGTAAGTAGTACAGAGTTTTGGGTTCCGCTTGTACAACCATGAAACTTGCACTTTGTGTGTTGATTTTAGTTGGTGTCTTTCTGCTATTCAATTTCTTGTCCTTTTGACAGAAGACTAATGTATGGTATTTGTATGAAGAATGAATTGCAGATTGTCAGTGAACTTAACCCAAACGGGAAGTGCACAGATGTACGAGCACTGTGGTTTATGTGACTCAGTACTATCACTCTTCGAGTATGGAATATAGTGAAATGTTGTCTGAAGTTCACCAGTGAACTGCTTGCTTGAATCACTGTCTGTTTCGTATGAATCTTTTTCTAGGACTCCTTAATGAAACGAAAGGATTTGAGGATGAAATGTCTTAGTGAAATCTTCGCTTCAGTTAAGGTGAGCGAATTACGAAAGCAGAATGATCTTTGTATTATTTTCTGCCTGTTTACCATTCAACTAGTCCTGAATTTTTGTACAATTGATAACCTTTTATTTTCGTGAGGTACTTTGACTTGATCGCTTTTAACAACCCAATTGAATGAAGCAGTCGAGCTAAGAATAGGAAACCTGTAAGTAATACCGGTGTAAAGATACAAATTACAAATTAAGTCGAGTTTGTGACTGAGTTGAATGAATGCACTCAGTCATATCACTTGGGGTCCATGAACATAGATTAGACTGATGCTGAGGTCCCCCATTAGGAAACCTAACACGATTTGCGTGACAGAGCTCCGTGATACTGGACTTGTATAACCTCATTTAAGACCATATTTTGATCATTCTGTACCTTCTCCAACCCACCACCGGTTTCGACGCAGGGTGCCTAATTGGTGATATGCAGAATACGTGAATAAGACATATTAACCTATAAAGGTGAAGTAGTCACTCAAAAACGTGAGCCTGATTGCCTAAACCCGTTTAATCTTTACTTCATTCCTGCAACGACCAGGTGTTTGCTCCATGTAGCAGTTTTGACTGAACTGGTGCTGCGCATAGTGAATCCTTCATTGATGGGCGTATATCTTGGCGGCGCCATAGATGCCTCAGATTGGAATCGCCTACCGGGCTTCCTGTGTACGTGGCGAAACTTCATCCACCCTGTGTCCGCTGGGTGCAATTTAGCTGCCCCTATAGTCAAATCCCTTTACCTTTCTCTTGCATCTCCCCTGTTAGGATGAGGTTGGGAGCTTAGTTCATCCATTTCTTTAAAATCATTTGCCGCTCTGAGAGTGTAAAACGCACGCTGAACATAGTCACACTAACACTTAATCATCCAGAAAACTCACCTGGACTTTAGCAGTATCGTTTGCTTACTCCAGGTCAGACGGTCTACCATCTGGATTTAGGTTAATATTTCCTAATGACAACCAAAACGTGACCATCAGTGTAACAAAGTGCATACGCTCTTCCACTAAGCACGTAAGCTAATGTTTGTCCAATTGATCTTAGCTTGGTACTCAAACCGATTCTCCTTCACGCTTGTCTCCGCGTATTCCCCTTTCTGCGTCCCAGATCATCAAACTGTATGCATGGGAGTATGCATTCGCTGCACAGGTGACCGAAATTCGTAAATCCGAGCTACGTGACCTGCTTCGTATTATCATTTGCTGGGCTTGTGCTCAACTATTCTGGAACATGACACCGTTTGTCATCCTGTTAAGCACATTTACAGTTTACACCCGGGGTGTACTATTCCCCCTCTCCACATCGGTTCCCACGAACGGGAGTGAGGTGATCCCGAATCGGCCAAGTTTCCTAAATGCCGAACGAATTTTCGTCAGTGTTAGCCTGTTCAATTTGCTTCGAGAACCTCTAGTCGCATTGCCGTGGAGTTTGTCTGTCATTGTCATGGTGAGTACATTTGGATTTCATTTGACTGTTTTCGTTCAAATTAGTTAATTTGTGATAAGCATTTTGACATCCGTTTTGAATAATGTGCTCCTCTAC